TACATGCAAAGATGACAAGAAATCCACTTCAGGGTATATCTTTATGTTAGCTGGCGGACCTATCTCGTGGAAGAGTCATAAGCAAGAGTTGACCGCAACCTCTACAATGATGGCAGAATACATTGCGCTGTACAACGCAACCTGTCATGGGATGTTGCTCAGAAACCTCATCACTGGACTCAAAGTAGTTAATTCCATCTCTCGACCATTGAAGCTTTATTGTGATAACTCAGCCGCCGTTAGTTTCTCGAACAGTAACAGTTCAACTGGCGCTGCTTTATATCTTGATACAAAGTACTTGTTCGTACGTGAGCGAGTTGAGGAAAATAAACTTTGTATTGAGCATATAAGTACTAAGAATATGCTTGCGGATCCGATGACTAAAGGTCTCCCTCCTAAGATTTTCGAAGAACATGTTTCGAAGATGGGGTTATCTAAAGACCTTATTTAGTTGCATATTGTACTTGCTTACATTTAATAATAAAATTTCCTCATTGTTTTGTTTGTTTTGTCTCTGAATGTGTCTACGCATGCCTAAAGACATATAGACAACATTTATCTACAAAACAATCTTATGGGCTTAATTGTCAATTTGATCCTTAGCTTATTTAAGTTTTAAATTTGGTATTGTAGTATGATTAATGGGGGTCTTGAATTGAATATCGATTCTATGACTGTATTTCTCTACTACAATTTCGGTTTAGAACTAAAATGAATATTAAAATCTGATCAGACTTATCTAATACTCATCATAAATGATTACTCGGCCAAGTGGGAGAATGTTGGACACGTTTTTATTATGTGGCCTGAGTTATTATTTATCTAATTAATTGATCATTGACCTAATAAATAACCTACGTGTTTATTTGGTAATTATTCGATGGACGTAATTACCCTTATGACCTAATTAGGGTTTCCCCTTGGGTGTATATAAATAGAGGTATTAGACAGAGATCGACACACCAATCTTACGCCTCCTCTCTGCCTCTCTATTCTCGTGAGTCTCATCCTCACCTTAGCCATCTTAACAATACACCCTAAAAGGGAACTCGATCTGCGTGAGAATCATGACCTCATTCCTAACTGCGTTTACAGGATTATCAGGTACACATGATTAAATCCCTAATTTATATTTTATATTCGAGAATTGATCAACATTATGATCTATAGATTGATACTTATTTTATGAATCATACTCCGTAATATATATTATAGTAGTATGTATTGGTCCTTGTAAAAAAAGAAATCTAACTATGGTAGATCTATGATACCATGTGTATCACAAATATACACTAATAATCATGATCTAAAACAGATAATTATGAACTTGTTAGTACCAAACTCTCATAAAAAAATAGATTAACCCTAATAATGATGGGAAAACTTTTTAAAAGCATAGGGGGGAACACCACCAAACATGATTATGAACAATGGGTGGCCAATGAGGAACAACATTTCAAGTCACCATTTTTCTTCATCCACCACACACATCAATCTCATATATTGCTGCCTCCCAAGCACATTATTTCTTGCACTGAATTCATTGCTACAAGTTGCAACAAGCCATTAGCTATGAGAAAGATAATGACCAAAAAAGACCGTGACAAAAAAAACACTAAAATTTTGCATTACAAATCATTATCAAACTTAACACAGTTGACTAAAAAATTTAAAGATGGAATTTCCCATTAAGATCGAGGAGTAATTTATTTTTTTTTAAAAAGATTAATACTCCCAACAGCTTAGCCCATCAATGGAAAGGGTATGTAAATCCCACATAGATAGTGCACTCAAACAAATTCTTCTTAATCTCCTCTCTTTCTCTCTTCTCGAAAATATCTTTTCTCTCTCTCTTAAAAATAACTTCTTGTTCATCTTCTTTCTTGAGTTGGAGCTTGAGTTCTGTACATTTCTTGTAGCAAGATTTTCTCGCTATAACAAAATACCCTATAACGGATAGCATTATAATGAGAGAACTTTTTTCAAACATGATTGTGAACCATTGGTGGCCATTGAGGAACAACATTTCTAAGTCAGTTTTTTTCACCACACACATCAATCTCAGCGGCCTACCAAGCACATTATTTCTTACACTAAATTCATTGCTACAAGTTGCAATAGGCCATTAGCTATTAGAAAGATAAGAGTAGTTTACTTAAATATGACTAAAACATAATGACTTTCCCAATATAGGACCATATGTTTTTATTTTCCAATGTAGGACTTTTGGTCATTATGAATTAGTCATTAGTCAAGTAAATGTCCATCATTACTGGACATTATTCCTCCCACCAAGACATTAATAAGTCCTATTTAGGGAATACAAAAGTTTAAGTCCTAGATTAGGAAAGTCATTATGTTTTAGTTCTATTTAGTGCAAATTTCACAAGATAAAGAATGACAAAAAGATCGTGACACACAGAAAAAACACTCAAATTTCAAATTAAAGTTATAGCTTTATGAGAGATTTAACAAAGAACATCTTACTTCTTAATAACCAAAATTTAACATAGTTGACTAAAAGAATATTACTCATAAAACCTACTTATATTTTTATAAGACCATGTGTTATGGGCCGTTACTGCCATTGTGGACTGCCCGGTAATGCCACCCTCCCCCACGCCGTGACCATGGTGGCACCCATGGCGTGACCGGGGCGTTTCGAAGAGGCCTTGAAGACGACCATGGGCGTTGCCCCTCTCGTTTCCTACGTCGATCATTGCCAACGACCAATTTTTGGTCCGTTGGGCATATTTTAAAAAAACCTATAAATTAATCAAAAATCCCACCCTTCATCTTCTTCATTCATCTTCAATTCATTTTTTTTGTTTATCATAGATCTGAATCACCAATGCATTTGTATTTTTTCCAAAACTTTCCCATTCGAAGTATGTTTAAATTAATATTTTAATTTACATGTTTACAAAAAAATATTATCTATAAAACAAAACAAAAAAATTTGGTCAAGCCCTTACCATTACATACCTACAAGTGATGGGACTTGATGGGAAGGCCAAACCACATGACGCCTATGTGGCAGTGGTCAAGGCTCCCATCAAGCCCCATGATAGCACGTGGTCTAAAAGGCTTAGACTTTTTTGAATTACAAATCATTTCTCATAAAAAATATATTACTTTTTGATAAAAATCAAAAGTGGAATTTCCAAATGGTAGTATTTGTTATATACGGAGTATATAAAAAAAGAAGAAGATTAATACTCCTAACAGCTTAGCCCATCAATGGGAAGGCCGGAAGGGTATGCAAATCCCACATACTATTTATTACACTCATAAATAGAAGTTGAATGGTAATCACTTTGCAAGGACCAAAACAAAACACATTCTTCAAATAGAGCTTATATCAAGAAAAAATGAATTAGAAAAAAAAAAAAAGAAAAAAAAAAGAAAAGATACATGAAAAGCATTAGTTACATTTCAGAATACACAATAATCACCAGGCTTACAGATATGGTATGGTTTGGTATGTGTTGAAAGGCATATAAGTTTCTCTCTTGTTGGCATAATAGAGAGATCACATAATTGAGGCCAAAAAACAGCTAAGCAAAGAGAGATCATATGATTCTCCTTGGTTTTAAGTCCTTGCTGGGTGTATCTATAGATGAATGTGTACACACACACAAGCCAGGACTGCCCTCATATTATTATTTTTCACTCTGTGGAGAATTGCATGTTGCCACACCAGGCGGGACGGGCCCCTTCTGTGAACCGGTTTCCTAAACCGGTGTGACGTGAGTTCATGAAAAAAGAGCTTCAAAAAATAAGCTGTTTTGATCGTGCGCTTTTTACCAGCCCGGAGATGCAATTCTCAGTCGGTCTTTGAACCGGTTTACTGCTCGCTCTTTGGGTGATGATGTCTTTAGCTTACCGGCTTGACGCATAATCTCTGAAATGTTTGCAACTTTTAGTAAATCAGTGCATTGAGAACTTCAAGACCCGCAAACCAAAGCATATTGAATGACATTTTAGTGCCTATTCGGCACCTCTGTTTTTAATGAGGCTCGTTGGCTAGATTTCCTACTAAAAGTACTAGTCAACAGGTAAATTATAGGTCAAAATTTCAAGTTTTGAATGCACCGCATTCAGCTGTTGTTTCCACATTTGAGTCACGAATCACGGCTGTGGGTTTCTGTCATTTCTGATCACAGTCAAAATCAACCAAATATTTTACTGAAACTTACGGTATAAGTGGTTGGAAGGATCAAAAGTGACAAGAAATCCATAGTTGTGCACCAAAAATGAAAAAAATGGAGAGAAAAAACAGGACCAAAAGTGGGATGTTTCTTAGCTAGACAAGCACCGAGTTTCACAAGCAGACTTCTGTAAAAGAACATATCAAAAGGTAATGCAGAACCAAACTTGCCTCGTGATCTCTCTAGCTCTTCACCAAGCTCTTCTTCCCATCTTTTTCTTATCTCAGAGTCACTTGCATAATTATTAAACAAAAAAAACAATTTCTCAGGCTTAAAGGTGAATGAAATTCAGGTGCATAAAATGCATGAGATGGTTAATATGACAAACCTTGGTGTTATAGGGTCAGACTCTGAATCTAGAATGACTTCCTTTAATTCACAAAGTCCAGGTGATTGAACATCCTGTGTAGCCTCACGTAAACAACCGACATTTGATACCCGTTTCGAACATACTGTACTGGAATTCCCTGCAATATCAACAGCGGCAGACAGTCTCCTGCTCAGGAAGCGTTTGGGAGATTTTCCTTTTGGTGGTAAATTTATATTATTCGGAGTATTTTCCTTATTACTGGAAGGACTTGAAGTGCAGGCAGTATTCATGGAATTATGAAATTCTTCATATAGAGGTGTTTGCAGCTTCTTGAGATCAAGAACCTAAAGAAAGAAAGAAGCTATTGAATCTACCATCTAACATTTAAAAAAAAAAGCAAGATCAGATTTTTTTGTTTTTGGGAGACAGATATTTGACCAACCAGGTACCTTTTCGTCAAGGAATGCCCTAATTTTTGATTCAGCATCGTGCTCGACTACAGATTGCCCACATGGAAATGTAAAGCCATTGTGCTTATCGAAAGATATGGCACTATTGTTAAGTTCATTATTAGCTTGACTGGATAGGAAAACACCTGGGCTCGTTTCCGTTTCAGAACTTCCATCATATTTGCATTCCCAACCATCAGGCTCACACATAGGATTGAAACTCTACGTTAAAAAAAGGGAGTGAAGATGCATATTCGTTTCTCAGCTATCCATTTCCGTTACTATCCCCTTACTTAGGGCACAAGATAAAGAAATGGAACCAATGATTACCTTGTTAAGATCATAGGAAGGAAACTTAGATGCATACTTCATAGACTCACTAACAAGAAGATCATCATCATTATCAATCTGACACATATCATCATCATCATCAGAATTTGATGTCTTCCAGAGTGACTCTGTTGCAGAAAACTTTTCAGGATATATAGTTGAGCACCTCACACTGTCCCCTTCGCAAACATCTTTCAATCCATTGCAAGAAATTATTATATCAGAGTTTGATCTGCAGTCCAAATATAATATCAAGTGAGGTGATTAAATAATATTCAGAACCAACGTAACACTCGAAACTAGATGCTTACAATTTCTTAACATCCATCTTCTGTGCTGCCATTTTGTTCCCAGCATTGTTCTGATGATTTCCAGAGAGCAATTATTAGTTGAAGGTATGCTACATTATACTAGCACAATCTGAAAAGAAAGAAAGTCCAAAAATATTGCTGACCATGGACAAATTGTTTGAGCCAGGATGACTTTCATGATATTCTCCGGTAACAAGTGGATGCTGGACACAATTAGGAAGGACGAATTAGAGCTTTGATAAAACATTCATGCACAGTTTAATATACTTTCCATCATATCATACTTTCCATAAGCTATGTCTATGGATTATTCATGAACATGTTATCATGTCTATGCCTCCTTCAGAACATTTGAAAGGAAAGAAGGATACATAATTGGTTGGAAAAATACCTGCAGCAAATCAGACGCTGTAGATCTGAGGTTTGGTTCTCTGCATCAAAATGATGAAGGAAAAATCAGGATACTCTTATCCTCATAAAACACATTGTTTATGCTTGGGTTGTGGCAATATCAATCATGTTTGGACATGACAATGCCAAATATCTCAAGATTCTCAACTCATCGTCATGTCATTATATTTTCCATGCAAGTGGAAATTATTTACACTGATAAAACTTTTAGAATTTTCATCTCATTATCCCTAAAGAAGTCTGTGGCAGGAAGTGCATCTGGCATAAAATATTGTCACTTGCTCTTATTTTTATTTTTTTTTTGCAAGAATTACTAGTGTTAGGTGATTTTATAAAAATAACTACCACAATAAGTTTAATGCTATCAACCACAACATGTTGGGATTATGGTGCAGACTATGATGATGATGATGATGATATGCTTTGGGTTTTAAGAAAATAACCAGGCATACTTTTGTAAACATTTCAGTAAGAAATCTTTGGCTGCAGCTGATAGATGTTCCGGGATCGGCGGATGAGATTTAGTTGTCCCTATATGAAAGAGTGCAGCAACCTGGAAAACATGCAATTTACATTATGAGTAAACCACATATACACCATTACTTCTCAATAAGTTCAACTTATACTCCAGTGAGTAATCGAGTGATAAGCCAGTCATTAATACCTCCTGATATTGTTCGCTCCATGGAGGCCTACCAGTGGCCATCTCAATAACGGTACAGCCTACACTCCATATGTCAGCAGAGCTACATGTGATAGGTTTAAATGATCAAACAAAAAAGGTAGGAACACCTAACATGGATACTTCTAAGAAATTTCACATCTAATTTGACAAACACCAAATGCTATTGATATATGCTTATACTCACAAGTTATGCCCAGTCTGAAGGATAACTTCAGGTGCCATCCAATACGGAGTACCCTTCATTGACTTGGCACCAGTCATAGTGGCCTGCAGCAGCATATCCCAATTATGGTTGTGTAACTTGTGTTTTCTAACAGAAAGACAAATTTTAACATGAAATCAAGAAGAATTTTCATACCAATTCAACTACTTTCTTTGATGCCCCAAAATCCGCAAGTTTAATGCAGCCTTTGTTATCGACAAGAATGTTTGCTCCCTGTGTAAAGAAACAATTTCATTTATCTCAATGGGAATTGTAAAGTAGTATGTGCTTGCAAGAACTATTGTATGCACAACTACATTAGATGAATGAAGTACCTTTATATCTCTGTGCATAATTCCGTTTTTGTGCAAGTACTCCAATCCAATTAATAATTGCCTTGTGTACATTCGTATAACCTATGTAGAAGAGAGATATCAGATAAACCCGGTACCCACATGCTATCTTGCAATAACTGGATGTTCACATTTCTCTAGTCTTGAGTATTTTCAATAACAAATAAAAAACGCTGAGGCTCCATTTGGTACGCGGAATTCAAACAATGGAATTGGAATTGGGGAAAACAATCACAATTCTGCTGTTTGGTTGCACAAAAATATGTGGATTTGGAATTGGTAGTGCCAAAAATGAATTGGAATCGGAGAATTCAATTCCATCCAATTCAATTCTATAGAATTTCAACTTCCAATTCAATAATTCCAATTTCATCAATTCTGAATACCAAACGGACCCTGATAGAAATTAGAAGTACCATTTTCAGAAAGGGAGACCATGTACAATCAATTACACCAAGCAATCACTCAAAGTCTTAAAAGGTTAGAGCAACCCGAATGGAAAAATTTTCAATTTTTTCAGATTTTTATTGGCTCCATAATTCTACAAATACAAAATAAACTAAGTGGTATCACCCTAGGTTTTCCCTGAATGAGGCCAGGTGCACTATGCAGATTCAGCTAAACCCTATATGGCTATACATAATACATCATTGGCCAATGAATCCATTATTCAAATATGAGTAAGTAGTTACAACTTACAGGTTCTGGAAAAGAGCCAAACTTTCCTAAAAGAGATGAAATCGATCCGCCTGGAACAAATTCTAACAATATATTCAAAGATCCTTCCTCTCGTGCGGTCCCCAAATACCTCTGGAAGACGAACCAGAATAGTATTAAAACTACAGGAGATTACGAGTCAGACTGAAAATTCATATGACCATACTAACCACAATGTTTGGATGCGAAAGATTCTTCAGTAAATTCACTTCTTCCTCGAGCTCTCGAATGGGATCCTATAAATTTCCAATACACAAACTCATTAACTTTCCCAACTGACAGCACACTCCCTCCAAGCATAACTTATCTAAGCATCTCCAGTGTTATAAATCTAAAAAAACTGTTAACTAGAATGTAATAGTTTGTATTTCAGTAAATTGCACAAGACAGATGGTTGCTCAAAATTGAACTTACACCTGCTTACAAGAAATAACCCCAATTCACTCCCCAAAAAGGTAAACCCTACAAGACCCAAACTCAAACTAATAGCCAAATAGTACCCCTTACTTTCTTTTTCTCTCTAGTAGCAGTGTTGGCTGGAATTGATACCTGCATTTGAATAGAACCCAGCAAGATTACAGATTAAACCCTCTGCCAAATTAACCCAAACATGCCTAAAAAAGCTGCAACAAAAGGAAAAAGTTTACCTCCTTCACAGCAATCAATTCCCCTGAATCAAGATTCATCCCCATATAAACCCTCCCAAAAGCGCCACAACCGATCATTTCCCCTTTCCGCCACCTGATTAGCGGCTGGTCCTCTTTCCGGGACTTCATCTGCTCCGGTTTGGAAACCGGCGGCAAGGACGGCAACTGGGGCTTCGAAAACATTCCTATGCTCGACTTCCGGATACTGGATCCAATCTTTTCCACGAATCCTCCGAAGCCGTTACCACCATCTTCGGGTTCCCCTGACGGTCTGAAGACCAGAGATCGGCGAACTGAACCGATGAAATCCTGCATTCGGGTAGTAAGAAACGCTCAATTTGGGTGCGAATCGGATTGCAGAGCACGTCTGTGCGGGGAAGAGGGGGGCTGTCTCTAGGTTTCTCTGGTGCGGATTCGACCGTTGGAGTGGGGGAGAGTGATAAAGAAACAGAGAGGTGGGAAGAGAAAATGGGTATCCGTTTATTTTTTTTCGAAAAAAAATAGAAGACTCCGTATGCCGGAGGACAAATGAAAGCCGAAAGGTGAACGGAGGAGGGTGTAGAGTGTAGACGGTAGACTTTGTAATTATTGTATTGTTTGTGAATAAAGTTATCCAAACTTAATTCATTTTGTCTACTACGTATTTATTTTTATTAATTATTTTACGAAATAAATAGTTTTTTTTTGTCAGTAAAATTTTTCATGTAATTTTTTAAAATTTTAACTATAATCAAATAAATTGAATACTTGAATTTAAAGAAAGTCGGTCAAGAATCGTAACGCATAATGGGAGAGGAGTATCTCACCAAATTGTACATCAAACATTGACAGTCTGATGACACACACAAGTATAAAATGTCAGTGTTTTCACAAAATTTTCGCACAAAAATTTTATGCTAGTGTAAGTCATCAGTGTGCCAATAGAAATTCTTGAGGGTCGATGTTAAAAGGACCGGAATCGTTTATATTTTAACTCTTTTAGATTAATTTTAATGGAGTAGCATATGTTTGATGGATATAAATTTAATATTGACTTAGATGAACGGTCTTCTATGAACCTCCTTTATAAAGGTAGGTCTACTGAAGACCAAGATAACTCGCATGGGTCATTATTTTGTTACAAGAACATCCAGCAAGAGACAAATTTGGATCAGGCTCTTTCATATTTTGGGGCAGAGCGGCTTCTTCGAAGAATGGCCCGAGCTAAAATTACAGACTTCATGGTGATCATTTGAATATATCATTTACTGTTTTAAAAAAAGAACCCCATGATTTAAATTGCACGTAATAAAATATTATATTTCATGGAAACATGAACGATCAATATAAACAATGACTAGAAGAAATTGCCACGACCCTAGAGAGAAAGGGGCTAATATAAAACAAGAGAAAAAAACAATAAAAGCGGGGAAAAATAGCAAATTACCATGGTACCATACTGGTTTGGCGGACCGTAATAGTAGTGAACCACTTATCGTATTTTAAACGAGATTTGTTTTTTCATCTCGAATCGAAACTGAATCCATTTGAAACGAGACGAGGTCAGGATACAACAACTTAAAACTAAATATCATGAACCGATCCATTTAAGGAAAACTACAGAGTATACCAAGTATTTATTTGTGGTCAGAAGTAGAGATAGTTGGTCCGTTCAATTCTGAATTTGACGGTAATCAGTGGGGTCGTGGTCCCCTGGGAAGGAATACCCATGACTTGTGATATGATGATTATGGAATTTGTTGGTGATGATACTAAATTGTGAAATGTGATTGAGGAATATAGTATCTAAGCGAATCTGAATTGAATTGAATATCTTGAATATCCAATAGGACTAAGGTAGGATACATGTCATGTGAGGCGTGAATGCAGACTTAATGGCATTAGATTCAAAACTTGTGTACATAAGTCTGCGATCTGCCTCGATAAGAGCTTCGACCCACCCTTTGGAGACCTTTTGGGTTTGAGCTTGGCTTCTTGGTATCTACCATTAGTGTCATGATTCTAGTTGATTTATTTAGCCTTAACCGTCATAAGTTAAATTAATGACAAATGACTATGCTAGGACGATTCATGATTGATAGTGATGTTGCATGAAATTATGAATTACTTACATGATATTGTGCGATTGTGTATGATTGCGGCATTGTTCTATAAGTTGATTCGAGTGTTAAATTTTTTTCCACTCAACTTTCCACTAGGGGTAGTTTTTGTTGTCTTTGACTGCACGCATATAAGAATCACGTATTGGATGAGCAATCCGGTGGTTAGTGATGATTGGCGGAGTGGATGGTCCAAAGCTATTTTATTTGAATTTGTATTTCCGTTAAACTCATTTATTTTCATTACAAGAATGTTTTACGGTGTAAGATGTTGTCTCCAAAGGCTGTCGCAACATTTTCATTTATTACCCCGATGAGACTATGTTTTAGGAGACATTAAAGTAAAAATAAGTCTCACAAGCATTTTGTCAAACATGTGGTTTACAATAACACTTATTGATAGAAATAAATAAATAAGTAAAAAACATATTTGGCAAATGTCACGGGTAGATTTTGTCGGAGAAGATCTGCAGAAGAAGCTCATCACACTGGATATTCATCATCATCATCATCATTATGTTCTTCTTTTTCTTCATCTTCGTCTTCCTTTCTTCCTCTTCTTATTTGAAATGGAGCAATATGTAGTGATATATAGTATTAAAAAATCAAGTTGGGAGTGACTGCAATTGCAGCCATTTGCTCCCACTTGGCTTCGCCCCTGATTCGAATCCCTCCCTCTCAAGTCTCAACACAATGATCTTATTTAACTTTTTCGGGATAAAAAATTTAAAAAAATTACTATAAAATTTAAAAAGAATTTAATCAGAGTAAATAATTTGGTAAATTTGTCATCATTTGATTCTTCTTGATTGTGGAAAATCAAACGCAGAAGAATACTCGTATTTCAAAATGTTTTTTGGTATTATATATTAAAATTATTAACTTTGCAATTCTTATATTGATGATAAAAAACATGAAACTTTTACTGTAGTAATTTGTCCATGTTTACTTTTGTTTTACTCCTTTCCTTTTTGAATATTTATTCATTTTTTTTACTTTTTTGGTCAAAATTGTTAAAGTTTGACTTTAAATTAAATAAAAATGATATTAGATATTGATACAAAAGTAATTTTATTAAATTTATTATATCAATTTTTTTCAAAATATTATTTTATCGAATTAATATAAAATACGGAGTATATATTTTATTTAATTATAAGTCAAATATTGGTAATATATATTAATATTATTGATTTTGTAATTTCTAACTTGAAGATAAAAAATAATACCCCAGAGTATGAAACTTTTATTTTAGTAATTTATTCGTATTTACTTTTGTTTTACTATTGGACTAATATTTTTCTCTATTTTGGAAAGGAATAGGGATAGGAGTATAACTTTTATCTTGTGGGCCATAGTAGGAGTAAGTAAAACTTGCGGGCTACTACTAAAAAAAGAGTTTGATCGATTCCAACAACCGTCTGAACTGGGAATCGGCGCCTTCTTCTTCGCCCCATTATTATTCTTTGCTTTTGACCTTCTGCACTCTCTCTCCTTTCTCTCTCTACACTCCTCCCTCCGCTACTCCTCTCTCTCTCTCTCTAGAACATTTATGTATCCAGGTGTATGATGAATATTTAGACTTATTGACATTGTTACAGTAGTGATCAATGGCGAGTTATCCGGTTCTCCCGTCCGAAACTCCGGCGCCGATCGTTTACGCGTCGTCGTCGTCTTCGTCATCTGGAACTGTTGCGGCGGAAGACGACGGAGGATTCGAAGACGGATGCATCATTTGTCTGGAGCCGTTCAGTTCTAGCGATCCTCCTACTGTACGCCCTCACGCGCTCTCTGACTCTCTGTATATGACTCTGTGTTACGCATGCAATGTATTGTTGACCACTTGATAGATGATTCGTTTCTGGTTTTTGGAAACTTCTTCCCTTTGATTCTCAATTCTGAGTTGTCTATGTGATTGTTGAATTTGTGCTGGTTGAATTTTTGTTTATACTGAGTATAATGTTAATTAGGTTGTGCAAATTGAGTATGAACTGTATGCATATTGCGCAAGTGGATGGTGTTATTAGGGTTCTCATGGTTAATATTTTTGTTGTTTTGTGGAGATTTATCCTCTAGACTAGATGTTTGTGTGCCTTTGAGCAGGCGAGGTGTTAAAATCCATGTGTTTTACGTCATGGGGGATTTTGATGGATAGTAAAGCCATCAAAGATGATAGTCTCATTTGTCGAATAATTCTTGAAGGACTCGTTATTATTATTCGGTGAACATCACGGAGTCAATTGATGTGTTTGGTTGATCTTTCCATATTCACTGCATTGTGTGGATTTCATTGGTACTCATATAACATAGAGTACCTTTTGATTATCGTGTGGAATGTGGTGATATTTCCTTCTTTCTTGATGACAAGTCAGACTGATTATGACGGTTGGATTATATGATGGTAACGATTATTACCAAATCCCTGATTTTGCGTTGTTCGATGTCTCTTCCAGGTTACCAAATGCAAACATGAATATCACTTGCAGTGTATACTTGAGTGGTATGCTGTGTCATTATGGTCGTAATTTATTTTTAAGAACCGTTTACCTTTTATGTATCTTGAGCATTGGGTATTTTTGTTTAGGTCTCAGAGAAGTCAAGAATGTCCTATTTGTTCAAGGCAAGTTGTATTGACAGAACCTGCCAGGTACTCAATATCTTTTCATTTAAACAGACCACTCACTACCTTGCTTAAAGCAAAGATTTTTCTTGGTTGGGAATTACTAGTAGTTATCCATAGTTTTTTTTTTTCTTTCATGTAATCTGCATTTTGCTAAAACAATTCTTGGTATCCAGCCAAGAGCTGCTGGTTGCAGTGGAGACCGAAAGGAATGCAAGGTCAAGGTGTAGTGTGCACTATGCTCCTGAAATTCACGAAAGCAACGACATGGATGATGGGGTAAGATTTTGTAGAATAAATTATATTACCTGTTTTTACTGTTGCTGCATTTTAATTTGCAACTTCAACTCATGGTTTCCTCCCTAGGATGTTTCTGATCTTGAAGAGAGGATAATTCGACGCTTTGCTGCCCTTACCAGCAGAGCTCGCTCTATTAACAGAAGGATAAGACACACGTCTTCAATTCTTTCTTCTGTTCCTACAGAAGCCGGTTCAATTCCGCATCAAATGAGTGACTCCTCAGAAGAGTCTCGAGGGAGAACTTATGAATTTCTTCGGAGTGGTATGCCACCTTCTAGGATCTCATCGAGCACAATTGATGCATCCTGTTCTTTTTCAATCTTGTCACCTATATCAAATGTAGCCACTGCTACTCCAGCAAGTGGGGTTGACTCAATTAAGCTTTGGTATTCTTCTTTCTTCATTTTTTGTTCAAGAATTTACTCTTTTTTTTAAGCAACAGACGGTTTATTGATTTTTGCAATCTTCAACTTGTTTTAATACTCCTACATATGCTCGCATCTTCTTATTTTATCTGAACTGTTTTCCTTTGCAACCTTTCTGCCTTTGCTATTCTTTTTCTAACTACTCTAGAAACATTTCAGTGGATCATCCCCTGAGAATCAGCAAAGGTCAAGCTCATCTGATTTGCTTGCTTTCTCAGAGTCCATAAAATATAAACTCTCTGCTGCTTCATCCAGGTAGGGGAGTTTAAATAGAAATATTTGCACTAAAACTTAAGTCATTTCCCTAAATAGCACTTAAACTGTTTTATTCCCTAAATAGCACTTAATAATGTCCATAATGTCCAGTGATGGCAAATATTTGCTTGAATAATGAGTAATGCATAATGACCAAAAGTGCTACATTGGAAAGAAAAACACATGTGATGCTATTTAGGGAAAGTCATTATGTTTTAGTGCTATTTAAGTAAATTCCTCGTTTAAATATAGTTTTCTTTTTCCTTCTTTTTACTGCTCCCATCCCCCCCCCCCAAAAAAAAGGTCCACCTTGAAAATCTATTTTTCTCCCACACAAAAAAAGAATTTTTTTTTAACAAAATAAAGTAACTCTCATTATATTTGATGTATTTAAAAAACCCCAAACTAATAAAGTATATTAAATCTTGTTAAACCAACGAACAATACTCCTATAGTTGTACATCACTAAAATAAAAAATGTTGAAACAAGACTTCAAAGAACAAATAGTTGAGACATCCTGATCATTGGTCAGGTACAAGGAAACATTCTCAAAAAGTACACGAGGGTTTAAGGAAAAATTACTAGCTCGGAATACAACCGTCAAGGAACTTGGTAAAGAAGTGCAGCGAGAGATGAGTGCAGGTATTGCTGGTGTTGCCAGAATGATTGAGAGACTCGATCTTAGTTCAAAACGTGCTACTGCTTCTGGTCCTTTATCCAGCAACACAGTGGAGGGGTGTGTAACTTCTCAATTCCTAGATGGCAATACCCAGGAATCTACAAGCAAAATGAGTTCTAATGTAACCTCTTTACCCTGCACAAACTATTCCAGATCGAACTGATATTTCTGCTCAACAGGTATTTGAACTTTACATAACAATTACTGTTCTTTAATAAATCTTGAACCTAGTCAAGCCTGTCTAGTTTTTAGTAATCTGTATATGGGAATGTGATTGTTGGTGCAAATGATTCCGTCCCAAAATTGACAATCAGCATGAATCGATGCGAAATTGTTATCGGAAAGTAATTGTGCTTGGTATAGTAAACAAAGGAGAGATTTTATGTGGTAAACTAAGAGGTAAATTTTATGGGAACTTTAGATGGTGTCAAGATATAACTCCAATGTATGCATGCTTGTGTTTGAGTGTACAATGACATGTGGAATTTGGAAGCTTTGAACTTTCTATGGTGTTGATAGAATGTGGACTATATTGAGTAGATCTTGATTGCTTTGTCTTGTCACTAATATTCAACTATCATAGAAGAAAATTTTATCCTTCTGTATTAGGAAATCTTCTTCGAGGTAACATAAGACTCCTGTCCTGTAGAGTTCTTGCCTTCTTTAAACATATTGTAGGAGCCTTACTTGACTAAAACCAGACTCCTTGTAAGTTTGACTATTGGCTAGCCCCATAAACCCAAGGGATATAACCCCAACGGCTCAAACATGGTATGAGACAGACTTTAACTTAAATGTGAATATCGCGTTGAAACACATTTTTCTGACCCAATTCATCTCAGTGGTTGGTTTCATGCACCGTTGTCAACATGTAATTTGGTTTAGGATATCTCCTTGGTAACGATGTATCACTAACTTCACATTTTTCCCTTTCATCTCAGGGGAGATAATTTGGTTCATTTAGAAGAGCAAAAGATGGGTGGTGAGGTATGCATAATCTGCGAGTGACTGAAAAGAAATCAAATGCATCCATTCCTCAGGGACTTGAAGGTTTCATTCATACTGGCCAAAGAAACTACACTTTACCTACATTATTTCCTTTGTTTATTTACTTAAAACCAAACATAATTTAAACCCAAATCCATTATCTTAATGGATTGATGCGAGTTCTAAAAGTAAATCATATGAGTTGCTAAATTGCACCCTTTACTGCATACATTCTTGTATGCGTTTCAATGGTTTGACTCGCATCTTTAGGCCTAAAGACTCTCCAAGGCCTAAAGACGTGAGTCTATAAGGTACGGTGTACGTAAACATGGATGACCCATTTTCTTGCGAAGAAACAATTGTAGTTTATGCCAACATACATGTTTAAAATTTGAATTTTCAAGTAAAATAATCCTTAAAAGTAGCAAAAAAAAATCAAGAATTACATGGGTAAAAAACCTTCAATATGTCAATTTTTAAAAAATCACATCTAAGATTGAGATGATAAAAATGATGTTTTGAGCTGATTTGATGGAAATAAATGTGCCGATTATGTTTTTTTAGTTGCCATTTTTATGCCGGGGTGGTGGTTATTTATTTAAAAGCTGATTTTTTAGAATTCGATTGATTTAAGAGGCAATTTCTTAAATTTTTGTTGTAAATCTGGTTTTTAAAAATGGTTGACTTATTAAAAGGTGTTTATTTACAAGAACAAAAATTAAATTAATACTAAAAGTAGCGCCATATATTAGAAATATTAACTAATTGAAGTATACAATAGTTTAGTAGTAATTAGGGGTGAATAATTAACCGAACCGACCGTTAAACCGATTTTCAAAACCTGAACCGACTGAAATTTTGGTTTTGATTTTCACGTTGTGTTTGTGACCGAAACCGACCAAATAACCAAGCGCGAAATAGTTATATTAAATTAAAATAATACTATGTGTGGGTAAATGATCCAAGTATCCAACGTAGTCCCCAAAATGTTTAAATATGTTGCAGTGGCAGTGGCCATAATAGTTTTGACAATTTTTTTAAATTCAAGTTGAATACTAAAGTGGCAGTAGCTTGGACAATTTTTCAATTCATGTGAAATACCGAGTACTGAAATTAGTAGAGAGTAATTACCGAGTAATTTTTTTGAATAAATCTTGGTTTTTGAAAACCAACCATAACCTTTCGATTACATCAATTCGGTTTTTTCAGCTTTCCTAAATTCGAGTCGATTTTCAAGAACCAAAATAAAGTCCAACCGAGAACAACCGAACCGACCCCGAAAAATAGATAAAGGACGCGATTATAGTTTGACTATGCAAATACTACATATTCAAGTTAAATTGTGATTGATGGAGTAAAATTTTAGAAAAACAAACCCAAATAAAGAAAATAGAAAGGTAATTATGAAACGGATAAAGTCCTAATTGTGCAAGAAAATAAGAGGTGCAATTGTCAAATGTCATTTACAGCGCTTGTTGACCTAACATACAACATAAATCAAAGCTTCCAAGTGCCAACCATTGTTCATCAAAGGAATAATAATGAGATTTGACAGAAAAATAGTACTCCTGATAACATTTTCCACACAAAAATGTGACTATTATAGTATTATTATGGTATACAGCAACTTTGCCCAAAGTAATATCCATTTTAATGAATGCATAATACACAATCCTATAAAAAACAAAATTAAACTGTTATCAGGTCTGCTGCTCAGCCAATCACATGTTGCCGTCGTCTACAGTTGTCAAATGCCAGCAAGAGTTTTGCCACGTGTTGCCATAACCGCGGATTATGCGCGCCGAAAAAGGGACCTGTTTTTATATTAACATGAAAAGAAAAGACCAAAAAAGCGCGAGCATAAATAAAAGGTGTCAAAATGAAACGCTTATCACACAATAAGCGTATTTGGTTAGGCACACAAAGCGAAGAACAAACGTTTTTTCGGCCCTTGCGTAAGCAGCCAATCCCCACTCTAGTTACTAACATGTAGTAGTGCAAAATGATGATCAAAGTAATCCTATGACATGGCCATTGAAGGATTACAACTTGTACCCTGTATTGTTCAAGTGTAGCCACCCCCCCCCTCCCCAATCCAAGGAATGTACTAAGTGACGATTGTTTAGATCATACACAAGAAATTCATGCGTATGATCGAAACAAGAAACAAGCGTATATTAGACGGAAAGAGATGGCATCCTATATAAAGATCAAATAAATTGCTTACTATTTCTTTAGCGCGTGATACTTTTCAATGCTTCGATACCAATCCCATTGGAAACATAGAGCCACGACCCGCATAAGGCCGGCCGTAAAGACCTCAACGAAAGCCATGAGAAATGATCTTTGAGGAGATAGACCAGCAGTGGCTATAGACAGCATGAACCCCTCAAAGTTGCATGGAACAAAAAAATTTCCAGATCTCATTCCATCCCAAGCTTTCTTGGCAACTTCTTCAGCTCTCACTGTACCAGAAGAAGCTGCTATTATACTCGTGAGCGGCGGCCTCCTTTTGTTCTCTGCATGGTTGCTGAAAACTATCAGGGGGGAAAAAATTGCGGATTTCAGGGATAAATAAAAACAATTTCTTTTTCAATACCTTCGGCAAGGCCAGGAGTATCAGTGTCAGGAGGAAATATTAGAGATACGTGAATGTTGTCTGCAACAACCTCCTGCTGCAGTGCTTCTGCCAGACCTCTGAGGCCGAATTTAGAAGCCGAATAACCTGTATACCCGAAGATGCCAGCCTAAAAAAGATCATAGAGCTTGTGATAAACAACTTTTGTTAAGAATAGATGGGGAGAATGAATCAAAGAGTAATTTCTTCTATGGGTAATTTTCGGCAGCCACTCAGTGACCACTTTCACTTACCATTCACCAATGCCAGCAACAGACCCAGTAAAACCAAACAAAAAGTGTGGTCTCAAGAGCTCAAATTTGGCCCCCATGTTTGAGTTTGAATGAACCATGGGAGATGGGACTGATGCAATACTTTCAATTTGGTGAAAGAGTAAAACTGAGAAAGGGCATTACCTGGCCGGCCTGAGATGACACGATTCCAATCAATCCTGGCCCACGGTTTTCCCTGTTCTTCATTCCCGGCAACGCAGCTTTGATCAAATTAAAAGTCCCCAATAAGTTAACATCAATCATGAACTTCACCTCATCCAGATCCTGATTCTCCAGCTCCCGCGGCATAACCACCCCATGATTACTGACCAGAACATCGATAGGGCCAGCCTCTTCCACGGCCTTCTTCAAGGCATCGTAGTCTCTAACATCGGCGCTAAATATGCCAATGTCACGCCCCGTGGAGAGCCTGATCTCTCGCTTTGCGGCCTCGAGTTTATTGGCATTCTGAGCTAATATCGACACTCTAGCGCCTTCCAAAGCGGCTTGGTGAGCTAAAGCCAAGCCAATGCCGCTGGAGCCGCCGGTTATGAAGACGTGGCGATTCTTGATCGAGATCTTCACGGGACGCGGCCGGACGATGAGGTAGAGGAAGATGATGAGGGAGAGTGGGGGAAGAAGAATAAGAAGATAGAGCAGAGAGAGACCTGAATCCGCCATAGATGAGATCTGGTTTACTCCCAAGGTGGATGAGTTCCTAGTACCCAAAAAAGTACTCCGTACATAAGAAGCTTGAGAAATCAAATTAAAATAACATACTCATTATGTCCCATGATTATCTTCTTGACATGATTTTTAATAAAGTAAATTGCAGTTTGTGCAAAGAGAAAAAAAAAATTATAAAGACCACACAACCCTTTCTTTAAAGAGAAAGTGGGAGAAAGATAATTATGAGACGGAGAGAAAAATTAATTTTAGAATAAATATTAGAAACTTCAACATTGATAATGTAATTTTAAATTTATCATTGAAATGCAAATATATCTTGCATTACTTTTGTCAACTTATTCTTTTTTAGTGCAGATTTGGAGACTCATTATCAATGTTGGAGCGTCAATCTAATCTTATTAAACACAAATGCTAATAAAAATACAAAAAGAATAAGGTTACATTATAGTATTTGGCAAAAAAAATACATAAATGAAAACTATTCTTCGGAACTTTCACTCCCTTCTATTGTTGCATCCTCCATACAATACGGAGGAGGTGTAATGGTTAGTTCTTTCTGATGGAATCTGGTAAGAAACCTATTGGGGTAGAATACTAATGTCTCAAGTGACTCAGCATTTAGATGCATTATGCAATCAGTAAACATGTTGAGCTAAACTCTTGTTCTACTGCAACCATTGATGGATGCATGGACAAACATTTGTTTCACCAAAACATACAAGATCAATAGAAGATTCAGAAAAAATGTGATCGGGTGCACTTTTGGTTAATAAAGGCAAGAAAAGTAGGAGGGCTCGGGGGCAGCACCCCGGATATTTTTTAAGGCAATGTGGTAATAAATTTCATCTCAAACCAACATTCAAATAGTTAGAATGAAAAAGTCCCAAAAAAGAAAATATAATGTACGGAGCACATCACGACCTACTTTAAATATCATATTTATGTAGCCAGTTTACCTGCTCAGTGTGCTCGAATGCTCATGAATCTTCCTTAGAATTTAGAAGCTTGATAATCTCCAACCACAGTTGTAATGATGTTTAAATGTCTAATACACACTAAGATGAAGACAAAAGGGGGAAAGGCACACAAAAAGGTGTTAATGTTTATCAAAAACAATATTAAACGCTGCTTCTCCTTCTACATAAGTTTACAAGTTCAAAATAAAGTTAATGATACTAATAACTCAAAAAAACAACAACAATCAACTCACATTAATGGCATGTTAATTTCTAATATCCCTAAATTAGTACTTATAAACCCTAATTTTAGTTCAAAATCAAAATAGAGAACTAAAGAAATGAGATTTATACTAAGAGGGGTGTATTCAATCCAAATTTTTTAAGATTATGATAGATTATTTAAAATCTTTAGATTCTGTAAAATCAATGTATTATTTTAAGTTTGCGCAGAGTTAGATAGATTTTATTATATTTATCAAGAGGATTTTATAGGATTCTAGTAGATTATTTATAATCTATGGATTATTTATACATATATTTGAGTTATTTTAAAAATTTATACATTGCTCTAACATTATTTAAACTTAAGGAATTGATCAAAAGCTTAAAAATAATATAATAAATAAAAATAAATTATTTTTTAAATATAATATTTATAAATGATAAACTCATTGTTGCGTCAATCAACATGTGAATGAACACTTGACTTTCTGCAGGACTTTTTTTATGACTATTGAAAAGTTTTAATGTTTTCTTTCTCTTGTTAACCATGATTCTCGAGATCTAACAACTTTCTTTTGCAACTCTAATTAGTGGTGAAACAAGTGTATTATGATCTTGAAGTTCAATAGTCATTTTAAACAAGTCTCCAATCATTGGTATGCACATTTTCAGAAATTTTTATCAAGAGCATAACAAAAGAAAACATAATACACTCCTTGTTTAAAGCAAAAGAGAAAAAAATTAAATAACCAAGGACCATTTGTAGACATTTCTTCAAACACATGGAGAGCATAAAATCTTAACCTAAAAAAGAATAACTTGTGAATCAATTAAAGAGTTCAAAAATAAACAAACATGACCAGTAACTAATTCCAATACAAAAAACAAATTCACTCTGTAAATAGTAAAAACAACTAGATTTACATTTTTAAATTGTATCTTATAATTGGGTTGCAAAAATAGGGCAAAGGGCAACTAAAAAACGGCTTTGAAGAGGAAATGCAGAATCATATGCCCACAAAAAATTGAATTGGGAAGGCTTGAAGATGATGGAGGGAATTGGAGAAGAGAAGACCTTACCTTGAAGGCTAGAAGAGAATGAAAGAGAAGAACCTCCGCCGGACAGAGAAGGAGATCGAAAATGAGTTCTTGGGAAGAAGAGAAGAAGATCGGTCGAAGGAGAAGGAGATCGAGAAGATTGAGCTACCGGCTCGGCTGTGGGAGTCCACAAAATCTTTTTATTTATATTTCTAATTAAAAATACATTGCAATCCATTTTAATACTCTGTAACAATTTTTGAAAACTTATCAATTTTTCAATATCATTAGATTTAGAAAGATTTTTAAAATCTTAATTAAATAACTGCAGATTTTAAATTATTATTCAAAATCTCAATTGAATACTCATTGACTTTTAAAATCTAAAAAAATTCTATAAAGTCTGAATTGAAACAAAATTTATGAAGTGTGAAATTGTATGGTTGAAAGTGATATAGAGAAGAGAGAAAGACACTAGACCATACAAAATTTGATAAAAATATAAAGATGAACCTTTTTTGGAACGTCCTCAAAAAAAATGTGAAGTCTTTTTTTTGGAACAAAGAGAATACATAACATTTTTTTCAAAACGCCCAAAAAAATCAAAATCAAAACATGAACTCGTTGGGAAGCAAAACCAATCAAAACCACCCGATACGGTTAAGACTCTATGCCATTCCCCTGATCTAGTTATATTTGATTTTTTGAAGATCTTATCTAATCTGATCTAATTAGATCTGAACAAATCCGACTAGATTAAATCTAATTTGATTGTAGTTATAACTAAAGTCATTTCTAATTTGATCAAATATATTTTGATTTAATCTAATTAGATCTGATTTTAATAAAAATAAATAATAAGCTAAAAAAGGTTAAACTGAAAATTGACCCTAAGAATGAATCCTCCATCAGAATCTCCAATCCTATAACCAAAACCGGGCTGTGTCTAGACAACCACCAAACGACTACTAAAGATCCTGAACCAAATAGTTCATTTTTTTGGGCTACATAGTTCATTCTTTGATACCCCATAAAATAAAAATAAAAAGTACTATGAAATTTTTTTTGGGATAGCTAAAAAAAGAAAAGAAAAATATGAAGTTCATTTTGAGCCTGAGAAAGCACAGCGTATACAAGTTAAAAGAGTAGACTCGAATTTGATTCATAACAAATACGCTAGGAGACAATTATGTTAAGCATAATACTTTTGCAAGTACATCCTTCTTTTGTCAAAAGAAATTTAAGCTATGAGAATTCCTTATCACTCTAGAACAAATGTTTCGGACAAGGACACCAAAATGTTTGCCCCAATCACATTTTTTGCAATTTGAAAACAAAATTTGTCTGAATCACACATACAAAGTTTGTATGTATTGCAGGCAAAAATAGAGTTAGTGTGACATCGATGTGCACCAAGCATGGTTGTTACTTGTTACGGGTTCTAAGAACGACCGACCGTGCAAAAAAAAATTAAAATAAAATAAAGTTAACTGAAATCCATACATTATTTTCACATTTATGATGACAAAATTACCAGGAGAAATGTTACAAAAATGAAGGGTTTGCAGACTTCACCTTGTCAATTGCTGTTCTTTTTTTTTTCCTTCCTGATTTGTTACAGCGAAGTAAGACGCTCCGTGGTAATAAAGAGCAACACAGAATGACAGTTATGCCCCTCCGGCCATGTCCATGTCGGTGGCTCCATCAGTAATGCCCTTGAAAGCCACGCGTAATTTTCTCAAGCATGACCGCTTCGTATCGCCCTTCCCGGCCATGCCATTCACATGAATTATATCTCGGGGAGTTTTATCCATGAGATCAAACAATGGTAAATCAAGATTTGACCGAGTCATCTCTTCCAGCACTTGAGGCGCTTGCATGTACAGATTCTTCCCTCTGTACGTCACACTAGCCCTAGTCAGGAGCAGCTTTGGATGATCTTCAAGCATATCAATGAACTGTTACAAAATACCAACATTTTAGAAACAATATCAAGAATTGTTCCCGTCAAGCCAAGAAACAACATTTTTGAAACATTATCAAGCATATTTTCAATCAACTAAACGATTTTGGTTAAGTGTGCAATTAAAACTAAATCATCAAGCCAAGTAGACGAAGGCACCCAACAAAAATGAACGGAGCAAGAAATTGATGTGTTTAAGTAGAAGAGAAGATGGTAGATGACCTTTTTCAGGGTGACTGAAGGGTCTAGTTGAATAAGAACACCAGGACCACAAACAAGACATTCTTTATCCTTTTCAAACTCGGTCACAGACGTGTTAAGACCGTCAACTCCATTATACCTTCAAAGCATAGATAGAAATAAAACACAGGAAGTATAGATTGTGCAATATATACAACAGGTTATATCTGTACGGAGCAGAATATGATACATGTATTCATCAATAAACAGTAGAGATGTCAAAAAGAGGAAGAACTAGGCGGAAAGCCACCATCTGACGAGAACTTTTTTAGAATGTTAAAAAAAAAGCAAATCATTGATGCATTATTGTTAGAGCATAATCAATACAGTATATATTATGCAGAGTATAAAATAGTCAAATGCCAGTAATATGCATACGTTAACTGGTTGGATAATGTTTTGCTGCATCCAGAGACAAGTTTCAAGGTTTCCAAAGCACAGGCAGCTGAAATAATAGCATTTGTGGATGCTATAGCAGGTATGATATTTTTCACAACACCCTGAAATAACATTATGAAAAAAGCACTATTATATATGCCCTGTCCCTTTTTTTTTATCTTCCAACTTTCCTATTTTGGATGTCCATAAATAATCTTCTCATGTTCGTTTAACGGGAGAATTGTTTGGTTCACATGAATTCTCTCCACTCGGCACAAATTTCAACCACACAATTTCATCTTTCTTACTACGTGTAAAAAGAAAATGGGAAGATTAAATAGGGACAAAGGGAGTATCAAATAAAGCCTGAGACAGTACGTTAGGAAAGAAAAGTTATAGGATGCCGTGAGAAGATTTTCAAGAGTCCAAATCAGGTTTTGATAACTATACCTGTGTGAAAGAATATGTAACTCCTGGAATTCCAAAGAGATCTGCTCTCTTAACAGCCTATAAGAAATCATAAATACAAACAATGAGAGTTCCAGAAAATGGAATCCTAAAATTGCATTCTTCACCAACATGCCGTGAATAAATTTGGGAAGAACAGGAGTATGAACCTCTGAATAGACCCATTGCATGTGTTCAGGATTATCTGCATCAAAACTTTTGCCACTATGAACCTGCACATGAGAATGGAGTTCCAAATATCAATAGAGAACCAATAAAATTAATTCCCTTTGGGTTGTTTGTTTGGACTTTGGAGGGCTTTAGAGGGGAGGGTTTTGGGTGAGCAAGTCTATATCTTGATAGACATTCAAGATTTTATAAAAGTTGAAGGAATAACATAAGAAAAAAGCGATCATATAACTTTTGAATCTCTATTCATTTTTAGACACGTCCTATTTATGAAGATACAGACTAAGCCTTCCACGGCATTCCCTTCCAAAACCTGACATCTGAAGTGAACCTTAAGGCTTGTTTGGTTGGGATTTTATGTAGTGTTGTGGGCTTTCTTTTAAAATAAAATATCTGCGAGTATATTTGTTTGAGTTAGATTGGAAAGTAAATATATGTTGTTTGGTTAAATAATATAGTTCTATTATAATTGTTCATCTTCCTTCCCCTCCAAAAAATGGAAACCAAAGAGAGAGTTCAGAAATGATAGGGAAGAATAGATCACAGTAGTACCTCATCCCATTTGATCAAATGTGCATATTCAATGCAATGAGCAGCAGTTCTAGGTGTTTCTGCTAGAGTGCACAAGGGAAACTTAACTTGAGGAGGAAAAAGCCAAATTGTGCACTCAAAACATGGAGTGACCCCTGGCTTTATAATCCTTGCATGCCCTTTGAAACCTTCAGTTCCACCATCCACCATAGGTTTGATTGTTTCTTCAATTGGGTTGTCATTACAGTCATACTCTACAGTTAAACACCAAACCAATGTAATTTTGATGGTCAAAAATATTTTCCATAGGATAAAAAATAAAAGCAGCATCAGAAAAGTATAAAAATAAGTAAACACCGAGGGCCTTTATCAACCACAAATTTTGAAAGCAAATACTTCAAAAAGTATTAAAAGTAATTTTCAAAAACTGATGAGAGGACGTAACAAAGCTTGGCATACATAACAAGAAAGAGACAAACCTAGGAATCCACATGCCACAGCATTTATGTAGCCTCGAGCCTCCATAGAATCAAGGCCAAGAACAATAATGTGGAAATCACTATAGAAGCTTAGCGGTTTATCCTCAATCCTACAGAAATGTGGAATAATGTTCACACCACTAACTCTTTCCATTACTCGCTTTGCAGCAATTTCAGCCTTTGGCTTCCCAACATCTTCAAGTCTGCAGTGAAATGCCCATGAGAATAGTTTGTAAAATAGATTAAATGCTTTAAATTGTTGTTAAGATTCAAGAAAACACTTCATTTTTCTGGCTTCATTCTTGTCTACAGTATTACTGTATTACTTATCTCAAGATGGACTTCATTGGAAGAGTCAGACACACAATCCAACACACTTCACAGAATACAGGCAAAGTCAAACATTGAATTTATGAAGTTTCCAAAAAAGGAAATAGTAATGAACCATATACTCGAAATAAAGTTGCACGGGGATTTAAAGGACACAGTTTAGCTGCTAAATCCCATTCAGACCATCTAACATGATTCACAGAATATTGTCAAGCATTGATTTTTTTCATAATTCTCATACATATTTTACCAACAAATAACTATATATAGAAACTGATTAAAAAAATGCACCTAATCAGTATCATTGTCAGTTGAAATGCAAAATTGCCTGTTTTTATGCTCTAAACCAGTATATGTACCCTATTATGGAACTCTGAACAAATTCTCAAAATGGATTTGGCAATCTTCAGAGATATGCTTCAAAATTGAACACCCAATTAATCTAAAATCTAAAATGAATGAACAGACAGCAATCACTAGCTCAACAACAAAAAAGTTTTACCTTATCTAAATAAAAATAAAGAAAACACAACATCATCAAAGTATCTAACAAGTGTGTACCTGAAGAGAAACTGGCGATTGAGATTGGTGACTTCAATTCTATCCATATCAATAACCTCA